TAAAGAAGGCAAACGACTCCCTCGTCTGACCTATCTCATTTCCCGCCCTGCTTACTCAGCTAAGCCCTCTCGCTAAAGAAGGCAAACGACTCCCTCGTATGACCTATCTCATTTCCTGCCTAGCTTACTCCGCTAAGCCCTCGCGCTAATGAAGGCAAACGACTCTCTCATCTAACCTATTTCATTTTTTGCCTAACTTAACTCCGCTAAGCCTTCTCGCTAAAGAAGGCAAACAACTCACTCATCTGACCTATCTCATTTCCTGCTTAGCTCACCCCGTTAGACTCCACCTTACTCGCTCGCTTGGACAAAAAGTGGTTTATCATATGAAATACTGCTTCCTTGGCCGAACGGTTACCATGCTGGGCTGCCGCGCAGAGGTCCCGAGTTTGATTCCCGGGCCAGGGGAAATAATTGAATGGCCTACATTTATTTCCCTCGTGAGTTTGTGCGTAATTTGTGGTTGTCTATGTGTGTGATCACGAAGGTTGCGATTTGTGATACATATCAACAAATGACATATTTTTAGTCGGTATAACGCTCAACAGATATGATTAATTTATGGTATGCAGACATTTGACATATTCTTGCATGAAATAAAAGTCACTGAGCAATGAAATAAATGATTTTTTTTTTTTAATAAATATCGGGATAATAAAAAGAAGTCATACCGTGGTAAGAAACCTGATACTAGTGATAATCATTTAGAAATAAATGAAATTAAATTATTTATTGGTAACAATATTATACATAATAGACGATTGATATAACAACTTTCAATCTAATATACCGATGACATAATGTTCATTTTATATAAACACTTCAGATATAACATTCACTGGGTATAATGTATTATAAATATAATTCCAGTGGTGTTTAGGTGCAATGGGAAATAAACCGAATTTGTTTGCATTTGCTAGTGGGTTCGACCTTCTCTTGCGGATGTAGGTTAGATTAGTATATGACAAAGCTGCACGAGCCGAGCGAGTGCAGCGAGTGTGTCACGCTAGCGGCCGACAAGTGCCAGAACCGAATTTGCTTGCATTTGCTATTATATTTTGCTATTTGTTGGTTTAACCTTCTCTTGTGGGTTTAGGTAAGGATAGTATATGACAAAGCTGCACGAGCCGAGCGAGTGCAGCGAGCGATCGACATCCGTACGGTGCACTACAAGCTTGTAATGCCACAAGGTATAAGTAATAGTAATTCTACCAACGATATCTATATACTACATTGAAGTCTCTTGATTTCTACTGTTATATTTATTAGTTCTTTGTTATCTTTACCTTCAGGCTTTCAATATCATGCGACAGATGTTTCTTAATGATATGTAAGTGGTGAAAATTATTAGTATGAAAAATACAGTCTGCCAATACTGAGCAACGACCATCGCAATATTCGATATTTCTTCCACCTCCGCCATTACACGCCTCTGTAAGTTTCACTGGTTTTTGACCGGGAATTCCAAGAAATCGTGATGAAAAAGAGAAAAGTTTAGAGGAAACCTTGAGTTTATACGTTCATTTCTTTGTCATTTTATAGTGGCAATGTTTTCGACACATTTGTGGTCAAAATCAACGTATTTTTTTTTATATAATGGCGCTAGAAGACTTTGTGCCAACGTCAAATTAACAGGTTAGGAAACGGATGGAAAGGAAACATGGTCAGGAGGTCTACTCTTTATCAACGAAAAACGAAATTTCGATCGAAGTTTCGCATGTTTCTTATTCCTTAATTTTTTTCCGTCCTCTAAGTTCTTACCACAATTCGATTTCAATGCTAAATTTTCTTCGTGCGAAAATTGTTTGACGTTTAGTTTTTCGTTACCTTACTCTAATTCATGAACATCCGAACGAAAATTGGATTTTGACAGATAATTCTTCGGAATTATAATGTCAAGTTGACGAAACTAAAAGTACTACCTTTTGATTTTCTTAAATGTGAATTTTATTCAGAATTTGATTGAAATAACTGCAACAATGCTTTGGTTGATGTCGAGGCTCTGCCTGTAAAACGTTCAGAGCGTAAGAAAGACCGTCGTCACCACCATCGCGCCAGTGCAACCAACTACATATAAAAGTTTAATTCCCGACATATAGTTTGTGGGAAATTACAGACTCAATCGGCAATTTATTGCATATCATATTGCACATTTCTATTTGAAGAGTAGTGTCAAGAAGTAGTGCCCTTATCACTTTCAAAAGAAAGACGTTATGTAAACGAGCTCACGATTGTTGTTCTCTAGTTGGGAGAAAATGAACTCCAAGCTGAAAGCAGGTTGGCTCTGAATTTGCTGTTCCTCCAGCTCAAGCTCTGCATGCTGGCCGAAGAACCAGAGTGTTAGTGCAAATTTCGGAAAGTTCTACCCAAGAAAATAAAGATTGTGCATTTATTTGTAAATATTATGTACGATAAGTTTACAAAGAATACAATTTATAGAATATTGCTTTTAATACACGGAATTTTTGGTTGTCATACTTTTGCCACCTACAATTTGCATGAAATGCTTAGACGATGGAAAAAAAAATAAGGTATACAGTAGGTCAATGGGTATACATATAACGTCTGATTTATATATATTAACATAACATGTCCTTTAGTTTAGGTACTCTTCAAATAAATCGGATAACAATGAGTTATATTGTTTACAATGTGAGTTATATTGTATACAATGTTTTATAGCGTCTCGGCTAATCACATCAAAAATATTTTTTTATTTGTTTCCTTACATTTTCTGCAATAAATGCATAATGAACCACATATTAAATGTAAAATTTAAAAATAAAGTAAAACAATTGTATTTATTTTAAGTTAAAGCAAAAACCGTATTTTAACGTAGTTGACATCAAAAATGACCTACAATGTCATTCATTCCAGTAGTTCACGAAAATTGTAAATGACAACGAAATTATTGGACCCGACCGAAAAAGAATTACAGTAAAGTTATTGACGAAACTTCGTAATATCGTTCGTTAACGAAATTTCGTTTTCAAGAAAGAGAGTAGACCTCCTGTTTATTAAACCATAAAAATTACCATTACACAAACTTTTGGTCATCATGTTAGCCAAATTTTTTTATATAGCTTTTTAATTTATTTTTTTTTATTATAGCTTTTTCGTTGCATCCTAAATATTCATTAATTCCTTTTCTTTTTCTTTTCTAATTGCGCTGCCGCAATATATTCCGAACCAGCGGATGAACATGCAACACATTGCTGTCTTGGAAAACCAAGCGATAGGATTTTCTCCTTGTAAAATCATGCCGCCGCTTACACTTTTTCTATCGTTTCTGTCTCCTGCCCGGTCTGGACCAGAAAATCCATATAGATTTGAGTCAAGTGTGTTTGTGAAAATTAGTCCTTTTTACGAATAACTCTCTTCCCAGCTTTTCACAGTTCTTCATTTGATTTAAGAATCTACTGAGATATGATACTACAAAAGTCAAATCCGGTATTGTAGTTAACGTCAGATACATTAGACTACTTATTAATTCTCCGTAATAATAAGTAATTCTGGTAGTATTTGTGACCCCACCAATTTCAGACCTATATCAATACTATCAACTCTCAGCAAAATATTTGAAAAAATTATTCTAAATCAGATGTGTGCACATTTTTATAGTAATAACTTGCCTCCTAAACAATTTGGTTTCACTCGGGGTCGCTCTACAACCTATGCTGGTGTCGAGTTGATTAATCGTATATTTGATGCATGGGAAGTCTCACATGATGCTATTGGTGTATTCTGTGACCTTTCCAAGGCTTTTGATTGTGCACCATGATACACTGGTCAGGAAACTTCGCCATTATGGTGTGGCGGAACGCGATCTCGACCTTCTTAAATCGTATTTGCGTGTTAGGGTACAGAGGGTCGATGTTAACGGTACCAGATCATCAGGGTCTGCAGTTAACATGGGTGTCCCTCGAGGTTCAATTCTAGGCCCATTTTTGTTTTTAGTTTATATTAATGACTTACCTAGCCTTATAGAGGGTATAAAACATGAGATAGTATTGTTTGCTGATGATACTTGCTTATTATTTAAAGTTAAAAGGCACCAATGTTCCTACGACGATGTGAACAATGCTATATCTAAAGTAGTTGATTGGTTTGCTGTTAATAACCTACTCATTAATGAGAAAAAAACAAATTGTGTGAAATTTACATTACCAAATGTTAGAGAGACTGTTATAAACATTGTAGTTACAAACGAAAAACTGAATCTTGTGGATACAGTTGTATTTCTAGGTATAACGTTAGATGCTAAATTGCAATGGGGTCCCCATATAAGTAAGTTATCAAAACGGCTCGGCTCTGCAGTGTACGCGATTAAAAAAATAAGGAAACTTTCAGTCGTCGAAACCGCTAGATTGGTTTACTTCAGCTACTTTCACAGTCTAATGACATACGGCATTTTGCTTTGGGGTAATGCCGCCGACATTAATAAAATCTTCGTCCTGCAGAAACGTGCAGTTAGGGCAATATACAATCTGGGCCCCAAGGTACCTTTGAGAGATTAGTTTAAGGAAATTAACATTCTTACACTAGCCTCACGATACATTTATGAAAACGTAATTTATGTTAAAAGGAATAGTAATTTCTTTATGAAAAATAGTGACAGACATAACATTAATACGATGAATAAAAATAAACTAGCTTTTCTTGATAGTCGTCTTCACAAAGTCAAAAAATCATTTAAGGGGCAATGATTTCAAGTCTAATAATGCTTACCTAAGAAATATAATTTTTTTTTTTTTAAAGTAAAGCACATCCAGTCTACCTGCATCATCATTATTTATAAGTAAATTATAGTTATTTTCCAAAGGTGTTTTAATTCCTTTACATTGAGTCATTTTAAATGTTTCTAATATTTTTTGTTTTGTTGTTTTACCACAAGGGTATTTTCATTTCTTTCTATTTCCATTCCTAAAAATTTCTTCTTATATCCTAATTCTTAGTAATTAAACCTTTTTTTTCAATCCTTATCTTTTCATAATTTCCAATTAATTTTATATCTTCGATATACATTAGCGTCCGTATTAGTGTATTAGCGTCTTCTATGTAGTACAAGCAATAGTCATAATTTGAGCGTTCAAAACCTATCTTCGCAAACTCGTCTATTGTTTCGTTCCTGTATTTAGGATATTCGACCAATCCATAAACTGGACAACGTAACAGACTTCACGGATTGTTTCAGTGCGGTGAGTGCCATGGTTAATGGCAATAATGCTGAGTCAGTGTATATACTCAGTGATCTTAATGCTAACCCAGGCGAGCTATTCTAGTCAAAATGACGGTGTTATGATGTACACAAGAGTGGGCTATCGCGTACGGTTTATGAACCAGTCTTTAGCGATGCGAATTGTTTAGTTTATAACGTGTGTAACATTTTTATCATCGGGATTTATCGTTCCCCGTCTGTCAGTAATTTAACCAATTCTTATAATAGCCTGGAAAACCTTATTGTATCCCAACAATTTGCATCTAGTACAGTCGTTATGGGAGATATAAATGTAGATATTTAACAAAATAATGCGGATCGTAACTCGTCCGACTTCCTCACCTTAATAGCGTCGTTAGGATTCTTGCCTGAACGCCAATACCCTACTAGAGCAGGGAATTGTCTAGACCATATTTTATTAAAAACTAATCTACCAGCCACTGCACTTGTATTAGACTCGTATGTCACTGATTATCATCCAATATTTGTATGTGTAAATAAAAAAAATTACACATAGTTCAATTAAATTACATACATATACCCATTTGGACTATTCTGCAGCAAAAGAGGAATTAGAAAAAATTGTTTTCGACGCGGTTTTAAGTGCAACTGACGTAAACCTGGCAACTGTCAATTTAATTAAAATAATTGGGGCTGTAATAAACAAACTCTAGAGTGATTAAGTACAATAACAAAACGAAGATTCTGAAGCCGTGGATCACTCCAGTTCTCTTACGTTGCATTTGTAACCATGATAGTATGCATCTCGAGGAATAATGATACCCCAATAATCGGACGCTCTTGACAACATATAAGAGGTAACGTAATTTTTGTATGTCTTTACTAAAGAATCTGAAGCGGACATATGAAAAAAGAGAGTTTGCTTTAGCCAAAAACAATTCGAGAGCTACCTGGGAACTTATTAATCATATATTTGGTAGGAAAGTCCACTCACAAGACTCTATGGAACTTCTGAAGCTTTCTAACAACAGTAAAACTGCAACAAACTGTATCAACAAATATTTTACCAATATTGGTAGCAATCTGGCGTCCAAATCATTACCCATCACGGTCAGCCCTCATCAAAATTCCAGCATTACATTACACACCGTCAATGTAACTCACTTGCCGTATTACCAGCTACTGAGGAGCAGATAGAAAAAATAATCTTGTCCTTAAGGGATGATTGTGCTTCTGGTTGGGATAAGCTGGGATAATCTGGTTGGGCAAAGTTGATCAAACTCTCGTGAAATGTCTTATTGCCATTAACTACTCACAATCGCTGCTCACCGTCAACCTTGACAAAACCAAATTCTTACGTTTTTATTTACCAAACTCACTTGAACCACCTTCAATTGCTAGCACGCTGACTGCTCACTGCTGTGTTGATCCGTCGATCTGCAACTGCATTTCACTAACTAGAGTCCCTTGCTTACATATACTTACTTTATCGCTGCTCACCACTCTAAGCGAAAGGTATGGTTTCATTTCGTTGTCATTTTCTAGTCATTTCGTTGTCTTATATTTCATTTCTTTTTCATTTTAATTTATTTATTAATCATTAATTTATTTTTGTTGTGGATCGCAATTAATTTAAATTAATAATTAACCATTTATTATCCTTTGTTGCCCGTGGAACTACCAGGAGAACTCCTAATAGTTACACGGACAATAATAATCTCCCGTGTAACTACCGACAAGCCTAGTAGTATCACGGGTAGGTAATGTTTTTGTCCGTGGTACTACAACTACTAACACTGGCAATAATACTTTCTCGTATTACTGATTTCATAAAACAAACTAACCAAAAGTGCAAAACAATACAATAATAACCTAACCTCAGTACAGAGTACTAAAAAACCAACCTCAAAAGTCATTCATCCCCTAGTTTACCTCCCTTAGAGGTGGAATATTTTCTTCAAATTTAAACGGGACCACTTCTGGGGTACCCTTTTACTAACAAAAAAAGAATCATCAAAATTGGTTCAAAAGAGTTATTGCGTAACGATAAACGATTCTTTTATGGGAAACTGTATACGTTTTTACGATAAGATTCATTATTGCCCGGGAGATTGTTATTGCACGTGTAACTACTAGTAGTTCCAGTAGTTCCACGGGAGATTATTATTGCCCGTCGAACTACTGGAAGTTCTACTGGTAGTTCCATGAGCAGGTAGTTCCACCACTTGCATTAAACCATATTGTTGGTTGCCATAGCAATGACGAGAATAGTGTTGAGGTTCCAAAGATGCGCTCAACAATAATACCTTTATCAAAAAAAATCAAAAATCATTTATTCTCAGACAACTACAGTCCATATTTTACAGTTATAAATATTATAGCTTAAATAATTCAATAAAACAAATTTAAATTAAACAAAAGGCAACTTAAAAACATAGAATAATTAAACAAATTAAATTAAATATCAAATCATTTATCGACATGGTTTTAAATGCAGTTTAATACAATGTAGCATGATCGGGCAATCCACTCTACCAGCCACAACGCGCAGAATCTCATTCGTGCCGCAACGGATACGACTTATTAATGAGGCAGCTCTCTTTCTAAGGATAGCATGGAAACCATCCGTGTGAGCATCCGCGAACATGCCTGATGCGCTGCAGTACCGTGGCAAACCCAATAAAACCCTGAACGCGTTGTTGTACTGAACGCGCAGGGCGTTGATTGTCTTCTGCGTAAAGTTGACCCACAGATTACACGTATAGAAGCATTGACAGAATGCCTTGAAAAGTGTCACCTTCACAGGTACTGTGCAACGTGCGAATCGGCGCGCCAACATATTGCTTCTAACAGCCAACGCCCGTCGCTCTCTCTCTATGTCCTCATTATCCGTGAGATCCTCCAACACCCAGTGGCCAAGATATTTAAATCGCGTAACTCTATTTAACGCAACACCGTTCAAATATACGGGTGGTACTGACGTGATCTTGTGACCCCGAGACTGGAACATCAGGAGCTCACTTTTTTTTTGCGTTATACCTGAGCCCATGGGCCCCGGCATAACCCTCACATATCTTAAGCAATTTTCTTAAGGCACTTATCGAAGGAGCCAACAAAACCATGTCGTCTGCATAGCTAAGGTTATTTATACACTTGCCATCTATGGAGCAACCGACCTGTGCCCTGCCTAGCTCCTCGACAAGCCCATCTATATACAAGTTAAACAGGCCAGGTGATGTTAAACCTCCCTGTCTCACTCCACAACTCATGCTGTACTCATCGGAGATAGTTCCCGCCCATTTCACAACGTTTATTTGATTCTTATACCAATAATCAAAAAGGTCTATAACTTCACTGGGGACGCTGGTATCAGTCCTCATTTTTCTCCAAAGTAACTTATAGGACACCAAATCGAACGCCTTCGATAGGTCCAAGAAGCAGGCATAGACCGGAGTCTTCCTGTCTGTATAGTAACGGACGCTATGCTTCAGGCACAGTATCGCAGTCTCAGTAGAGAGCCCAGACCGGAATCCGAACTGAGCATCATTTAATTTCATGTGACTGTTCAAAGTGCGATCAAGCAGACCGTCCAGTACCTTTGCTATGGTGGTGGCTAACGAAATGGGCCTATAGTTGTTTTTATCACAGGGATCTCCAGTTTTATTTTTGATTATTGGTATAACTACCGTTTTCATACATTCCGATGGCAAGTACAAGTGACGAACACAAAACGTATAAAACATTGAGAGAACCCTCGGCAAATGTACCCCAGCATACCGCAGGTGCTCAATCCCAAGTCCATCGTGCCCAGGGGACTTACCCCTGTTCATGTGCTTGATTACAAAAGCAATTTCTTTTGCTGTAAATTTTATTAGAGAACACGATTCGTCAGGCCTAGGTTCAAGCACCCATGGCACACAAGTTTGGGGTGACGGTTCCACCTGAAAATGGTTTTTAAATAAGGTGGCAATGTCCCGTGGCTCAGACACACCATCCACATTAAGTGGAATGGTAGGTCTCGGATTAAGCCTCCTTGTACTTTTCCTAAATCCTTTTTAGCATGCTGTGATGCCAGAAAGTCCATCTTCAGCCGCTCCTGGTTACTTTGGCACCACTTTAATTTCGATTTAAATATACGTCGCGACTCCGCCATTTCCTCATAACATGGACATTATCATATTATGTAAGCGGCCTAGGCTAGACCTTAGAGGATGGAATATATAGTCTTAGGTCTAAGCATGTGTCTTGGATTCTATTAACACCTCGGCTAATGATGGTGCTTTCCAGATACCTGCGCCTATTTATTACTGTATAGCAATGTTTCTAATGTCTTTAATATAAATAAAGTGCTACTCAAAATTAATTAGGCGCTCAATACCACCATAATGCGAAACAAACAAAGTATTTTGTTTTCGGAAGTGACACTATTTTTCCGGATTTAAATTGCGTATATTTGTTTTTTTCAAACCAACGTTTCGGGCCCTTTACAGGTCCCATGGTTACGGTTGACCATGACCATGTCATGAGTCTACGTGTAACAATCGCGGAAACCAAGAACGCGAGATCTTTTTTCTGTGTATTATCCATCGAGTACATACTCGATGGTATTATCATAAACCACCACGTTCAACAATATTTAAATATAAATAAAACAACGTTATAATGTCATCGCACTGTTTATTCAGTGAAATATAACAATTTCTATGGCATAGTCACTGGTAACGTTATGTCGAAGAAAATGTAACTTAAACTAAGTTTTACTTAGCCTCTAACTTAGAAAGCTATACTATTCTTCATCGGTACATTGGTTTCAATTCTGTGCTGCACTAGTAAGTCTTGTTTGACGGGTAAATTGTCGCAGTCTTTATTAAACCAAATTGGCGTTAAAAGGGCGATGATCATTGCAAATTTATCAACTAAAGTTCTCCAGTGTAACTGTAGGTACTACACAGAATTACAACCATTGCAACTTAGATGATATACGTATAGCTGGAAAGAATCTATCGCTGCAAGGACTCTTCGAACTTAATCGAAGGTGTAGCCGACACCCAAGTCTTATCATGGTAATGATTTTAAGTTATTTTCTAGGAATTTCTAAACATGACTGAAATTGACACAATTTTCCTTCACGTGTCGATATAATTCATAGAACATCAATGTATGACCACTTGTTTCTTAAATACAAGGCAAAGAAGTTAAAAAATAGTTGAAGGTTTTAGTTCCTCGTGGAACGGCGAAAAGGAACAACCAAAATTTGGGTCTTAAATTAACTTCTTCGTGTTGTATGTTAAGAAGAACATCCATATTATATTGAAATACCTCATTTGGAAGATTGTGCAAAAACAACCACTCATGATCCAATTCCAAAGTTAAGCATATGATAAACCAAAGTAAGCAAGCAACTACGGACAGACCATTGTGAACTAAAGTATATTTAGGTTAAAAGCTTATGTTATTTAAATTATTTCATTTATGCGTGATTTTTACCTAGCCGCTTGCGTCATTAATTTAATATGAAAATTTAATTATTTATTACTATGAAAAACAACTTTACGTCCAAATATGGGTTTATTATTTATTTTTTTATTATTGGACGGTTGTTTCAATGTATTTTATCTAAAATACAGTAAAATACAAGTGAAAAAATATGTCTTTTTTGTTTCGGTATACTACATGAGGTCTTGTAAAGGATGTATGTTGTTTCCCACGTCTATGTTTACGCTACCAACTGCTACCATTGTACACGTTTCATAAGCTCTAGTCCTCACAACCTATCATTCCAACGGAAATTACCAGAATTCAAAATTGCCAAAAATATGGAATGGTAGACCTAAAATGCGATCTAAATGCTTTATTTATTCTCTTTTTAATCATTAGTATCCCGGGAATAACCAGTTACCTAGGTAAAAAAAGTTACTTAAAAAAAAATGTCACATTAGACATATCGTAAAAGAAACATTGCTAAATCCAAGTCTAATTTTGTCTAAATACTTTAGACTAAGATTTAGCGGAAAATTAAACTTAATCAAAATACAAAAATCAACTTAATCTTAAACATAAACTAACATTCTTCAATTAGCACCATCTGTTAGCCAACCTTTCCCGTCCTTCTTCATAAAAGCTAGTCCTCTACATTCTCCGAATTCTTCACATGTAACTTATGAAAAATTTAATAAGCAGTGTTATGGTTAGTACGAATTCTCTATTCTAACATAGAATTAGTACTAAACTATGTTATATCTAACACTACATAAAAATTGGAAAATTTTAAAATCTACCACGTTACAATAAAATGGTATTCTATATAGTAGTATAATTTGTCATTTATCAAAGATTAAAATTCCAAAAAGTGCTAGAATATCTACTTTCAGAACGATATGCGATATACTATCTAAGAGTCGTCGATTAACATTTATTTTTAAAACAATCTCAATATTATAATGCCACTCGAAGTACGCTACTTCAAAATTTATATTCCTTCAGGAAACTTCTGTACCAACTAATTATTGCCAAACTACTCTGAACTTTGCTATCACTTTTCCATTGTTCTGTGACACCTTCACGTGAAAACCTATCTAGAATTGCAGTCTCCAACGATTTTGGCCATCAACACAACCACATATACCCGTTATGTAATCTTCCAAACCTCAACGAAGTCTCTTGTCTGCTCCATGAAGCCAGTCTTCACTGTGGGCCTGTCACTTGTCACTGTAATCCTCACTATCCTGAGAGGAACCCTGTCATTGAAACTGAGAAGTGGACGTAGATCTCCTGCAGCCAATAGAGACTGGTGCTGGTATTCTCGAAGCCCCGTTCCTTTGATCTTTTCTCGGGGCAGCCAGCTGCCTCGTACTAGTCGATCTTTCTAACTTTCCATCGGACATCACCCATGCAGACGTGAAATCTGCATAGTCAGAATCTTTAGAGCTAGCCCTGGATAAGGACTCCTCTCCTTTTGAATAAGATTTGATGATTTCCTTCATCTTTTTTAATATGCTAGCGTCGTCCTTCGCAGTTTCTGTTGATCGGAGAAAATGTTCCAATAAAGGACTAAGAGGTTTCTGATTCGGAGGAGACCTAAGAGTGGCACTACTAGCTCTCAAAGGCGAATTCCTCTGGAAAGCTTGGTTTTGAGGAGACGTCTTAGGGTTAGCTTTGGGAGATTTATTCGGATTTTCGAAGGTATCAGCTCCGATTGTGGGTCTGGCTTTAGTCTTCGCTTGGTTGGGAGCAGTCCTGCCGCTCCACGTGTTCCTGGCCGCAGGAGGAAGCCTTGGAGTTAGTTTAGGTGATGTCTGAACTGGGTTGGGAGTGTGCTTAGGGCTCGGCGTACTTCCACGACTTGGAGTCCTGTTTCTGACAGGCGAATGTGGTATGCGACTGGCTTGTCGACTCCTCACTGTCTTAGTTGGCGATTCTGTCGCCTCCTTGTTCGGTTTTAGGCTCTTACTAGGAGAGTCATTGTTTTCGGTGCTAATTACTCGGTCAGGGCTGCCTCTGGCTGACTTTTCTCCTTCCTTAATGATCTTTCGGCTTCCGTAGAAGGTGTCGGAGAAGTCCGTTTTGCGAAGGCCGGTGTTGAGACTCACGTGATCGTCAACTCGTTCGTTTCTGTCCATGTGGCAGCCATCGTCCTGGTCGAGACGCTCTGGAAACAAACATAACATAACATATTAGCTGTCTATTATGTGCACACATTTGTATTTATAATTACGCGTGATGCAAGGCAGTTTTTACTTTTATCGCGTATCAAGGAAATCGATAAGCGCCATATTCGTAGACTATATATGCTAACTATGAACACGTGTGCTCAGATAATTACAAGTGTTATAACACTGGAGTTTCCCTTTAAACAACCGTATCTTACGACGGCGTTAAAACATGAGGTGTTAGTACATTTTATTGCGCTTCAACATGGATAACTTTACAAGACAACATCTCATGAATATCAAATTGCGTTATTCATAGTTTATTTCAACTAAATGGCGGCAATAAAGTCAAAGTTTATAGTAATTTGCGACTACCATTCTGAGAGGCATAATCGGTGGTATATTCGACTATGCTAATCGGGCCTGTTCTTTCCTGGTGGTCGGCCACAGTCACCATACCGCGCTGTCCATCATTTATTGCCATATAAAGAAGACGCTTATTATAATCGCTGTCTTCCTTTTCCGTAGCTTGAAAGGTTTATGTAAACGCTGCGATCTCTCAAGTTATTTAATTTAAATGCGTTGTTTGCTTAACTATTTCACATTATAGTATGCCAATCCTGAGCCTTGTTTATTTGTCACTTGTTTGGTGACCCTATTATTGAAACACTGTTTTTTTTACCTAAGTAATTCAGATCGAGGAAGCGTACGCCTACGTAAAGGCTTGGGTCCAGTGAACTCAATATCAGGAGGAGGCCTTTGCTCAGCTGTGGGATACATCAGGCCAATTGTAATTGTAATTCTATAAACACCGCTATCCAAAGATAGAACTTGAAAAATTGGTCACATATCAAAACGACCTTTCCATACTTGGGAGACATTCATGTGTCAGCCCCTCTCCAATAGATCCTGCAGCCTTTTTTGATGTGCGTTCCGGACCGCATTCTCGACGTAAATGGTATGAACCAGACTATATATACCAGTTATTCAGTACAAATGGCGCCCACACGCCGATCTGACTTTGATGTGATTTCAAATAACAATTACCTATTAGTAAATGAGTGTTGTTTAGAGTTAATCTTATCATATGGATCTTGTTTAATGCAATGCATCAGTGACAAATTCTTTGAATGCCAGAGAAATAAAAATTGTAAATATCGCAAAAAGTAAGTTAACGTTAAAATCTACATAAATGAAATTATAACAAAGAAAGTACACCTACAATTTGCAGAACAATACACTGCGCTGCTGCATTTGAAAACAATATATTTGCATTTACAGCTTAAAATGTATCTCAAATTTGTATTTAACAGATGTATGCCAAACTGTTGTATGCAAGGGGATCTAATGAAAGAAAAATAATTAACAAGTTAACCACCAATTCAATACAGGAGAGATAAATTTTTACACGGTTTAAAACCAATATTAGAGCGCCGATTGCATATCCAGCGGGACGTACAAATTATAATTGGATATCATGAAGGGAGTCTCGTCGCACTGTATGTTACTTCATGATTTATTTGATCTGAATATACGTCCACTGCAACGTAAAGGAGGTCGACGACAGTTAGAATTCGCACTCGATAGGTACAATGGTTGATACTTTTTCGACTTTCCTATTTCGGCGTTCAATTCGCGACCATATCAGAGACATGAGGTTAGCATGAGTCATGGTTTTGTTTTCTACGAAGGAACGTCTCAGATGGTGCATGCAAATGTACATGCTGTCCCTTAATCATTACACATATATTATACACCCATATAGTAACGATGTATAAGATATACCTCGAATTAGAAGCAGTAGCGCTCCTTGTGAAAGGAGCAGGGCAGCACTGCCACCTTACCTATTTCTGACGCTAAGCAATAATGTGAGCATTACTGCGTATCTGTTTGGAAGGGTAGGAGTGCTGGTGAAATTGCAGGCACATGGGACTTGCCAACTTATGTCTCAGGCTGACGGGCACAGAGACAGTGCCCCTCAGATCTTTGCGATTTAAAGCTCTGAGTGGCACTGCAACTGTTATGCACGAGCTTCTAGCTTACCAGGCGCACGACTTGTTCGTCCCGTCACTTGATATTATAAAAAAAAGTCTCTGCCTACCCTAATTCTAATCCAAGGGCATGAGTAAAAGTATTAAGGAGATTTTTAATAAAAAGCTAATTCCATTGATCCGTTAACTTAAAACAATACTTGGGTCCGACAGTGGGCCGTGTAATGGATGATGATGATCAAATTCTATTTGCATTGCGAGATAACTTATAATAAACTTGTAATTTGATTGCTGTTGATGCGACAGCGCCGTAATGGGAATGCTCTCCACAATGACAAATGAGGAAGGAATGTCATAACAAGGCAGGTGCTCTCTTGCGCAACATACTAGATTAGGAATGATTTGGATTGTGAAGCGTAATCTGTATTTGCTATAAAATTGACATAAGGTAAAATGTCTAACTGATTATCTCAGTACAGAGTTCTAAAAAACCGATCTCAAAAGTTCGTGGAATACATCTATTTAAACTGTAACTGCCTCGGTGGCCTAACGGTTACCATGCCGGACTGCCACGCAGAGGTCCCAGGTTCGATTCCCGGGCCGGGAGAAATAGTTGTATGTCCTACAATTAATTCTCTCGTGATGTTTAGATGTAATTTGTGGTTGTCTATGTGTGTGTCCATGGCACCCGCGACACAGGGTTTCCCTAGTGCGGGCCTATGTTGAGTGTGTGCGTTATTTATTTATTTATTATTTATTTATTCTTCATTTATTCTATTCTTCTTATTTCCCAATTTTTATTGAAATGGGGTACCGGAAAGTGCGTGAAACCGGTTTCATCCCCTAGTTTGCCACCCTTAGAGGCGGAATATTTTCTTCAAATTTAAATGAGGTACGAACCACTAAGGAGGCACACTCTTTCCAACAAAAAAAAAGAAACATCAAAATCGGTTCACAAAAAACAGTCGAATTGAGGCCCTCCTTTTTTTTTGAAGTAGGTTAAAAAAGTAAATAACATGAAATAGATCAGTGGCGATGGGTCTACACAGACCCGGTACGAAACTACCCTAATAATAATTAGAGTCGGGTGCTTCGTGATTCATTAAAAATTACGAGTCACTGAAAGGTTTGACCCAGGTTAAGGGCTTTTAGAAGTCAGTAATAAGTTCACATTTTAACGGTATAATTAAATTTGAAACAAAATAAAGTGAAGTGACAATAGCTGTCCTGTATATTACAGAGTCACTGTAAATGTTTCTTCTATGTCTTCAGCTCCACTCTTCACTGGTTAGATAACGTTGCATCGTACATTCTGAACATTAGTTCCAGCATCGTAAGCTGCGATGATAGTAGCGTTGCTTATCGCTTATGGGTCTTTACATTATCGACAAGTAAGTGGCACGTACTCTGACATGATCGATCAATGATTACACATTACAAAGTGAAGTAGAATCAAAACAAAATCACTGTTTACGAACGTCTAGAAGATCTCAAATAACATTATTGTTTCACCACGTACATTTTCAGTTTTATAATAGACACAAAAGTTATAAGTAGGTAGCACGCATTTTAATAATTACAAAATGTCAAATTTTAATTATCAAATTATTAGATTACAAGTGCTAGTGTTCTTTTTTGTTGGAAAGTGAGTACCACAGTATTGGTTCCATTTAAATTTGAAGAAAATATTCCCCTGTAAGGGCAAACTAGGGAATGAAATCGATTTCGCGCACTTTTCGGTAATCGATTCCAATAAAACTTGGCTTGGATATAAATATAGGAACTTTTAAGGTCGGTTTTTTAATAAAAAATTGTAAATGTATACATGCAAGATTTAACACTCAAATTAAAAAGAAAGTAAGTTCACGGATGCACCTACCAATCGGAGCAGAGCTCTTGGAACTATAGACACGCCACACTATGGATTATTGGCATAAAATATGTCCTACGACATTCATTAAGTCAAAATTCATTAAGCTGTTTAGGCTATAGAATACTGTAAATTTAGCTCATAATCACTGACAATGGCGATGCCTTAATTTTAATATTAACAATATAAACCTACTAAACTACACTAGCAAGATTTATCCGCAGTGGGACAAAAGCCAATACCTACAAAAAATTAATTGAATATACCCCGCGACCACATAAATATCATAAGAAGATTAAAACTAATCAGGTGGAGTGGAGTCATTTGCCTGTCAGGCATAAAAAAAAAAAAAAAAAAAAACGAGCAAAACCATTTAAACTGGTGTAATATTTTAGTGTAGGATTAAATGAAATAGTGCCAGAGACACTGAACAGAAACAACACTTGAGAAAAGTGTCCTTACCTTAACATATTGGCGATGGATGAATTTTTAATTTAGTTTAAGAAAGTTTAATTTCTTTATCTATTAGATTAGTGAAATGTAAATTAAATAATTTACATATTAGTCTTGTATATGACAAGATTGTGTTTGTTTTTTTTTATAACATGCCAGTCCATAACAGTTGCAACTGCCTCCGTGGCCGAACGGTTACCATGCCGGACTGCCACGCAGAGGTCTCAGGTTCGATTCCTGGGCCGGGTGAAATATTTGTATGACCTACATTTATTTCTCTCGTGAGTTTGGGTGTAATCTGTGGTTGTCTATGTGTGTGTCCATGGCACCCGCGACATAGGGTTTCCCTAGTGCGGGGCTATGTTGAGTGTGTGCGTTATTATATTAGTTACAGTGCCACTCAGAGCTTTAAATTGCAACGATCTGAGGCGCACAAGTCCCATGTGCCTGTAATTTCACCAGCACCCTTACCCTTCAAAACCGGAACACAGTAACGCTGACATTACTGCTTGGCGGCAGAAATAGGTAAGGTGGAAGTACTTCCCTGGACGAACTGTTTCGCAAGGAATTCTACTGCTACTACAGTCATCATTATCAAACTTAAGAGTTCTACTCTTGTCAGTGGAACATCTTCCAATCATCTCTCCTATAAGCCAGCTCCTTGACCTGCTTATATGACACGACACCGGCCTTTTCCTTTATTTGGTCTAGGTAGCTGTTTCTGTAATGTACTTTAATTGTTGCATTATTATAAATAAATAAATAGCTATATAACCTACACCCTGGAGACATTACCTATCTATCCTTCTGTTATAGATAGATTTCGCCACACGCATTCCAAAACATGTTCTTGAGTACCATGATGTTTTTTGTTCATCAACAACGTTTGTGCGTAATCCAGCTAAACAATGCAGAAAAACCTGCGCGGGCGCATGTCAGAACAATGGGCGAACATTATGTATTATGTAGCGCTACTCATCCGGGCCCGCTCGGCGCCAATTTAACGGAACGCTGCCTCGCGTTTCGCATAGCTTCCTGGCGAAAATGTTTTGCATGCATGGAATGAATAGAAGACTTAAAACTCACAAGCACGTCACAATAACATAAGGTATGTAAAAGTAATCAGAAGATACGAAAATTACGTCAAGGAAAGAAGATGAAATAATTTCAAAAGAACCTAGACATAATAGTCAATATTGCACAGTAGCTATCCATTATTTATCCCTCCGAGGAAAAGGACTTGACACGTTTTCCAACATTCATGCATCAATGTGCTTCAACACGACCTTTTTCTTGATCATAGTATTTCTATTATTGAGATTGTTTGTGAAATAACAACACTAGTTTTTATTTTGACCCGCAGCTCATTTGGTAAAAGCAATACTACGGTGCAGTATGGACGTGAGTTCAAGTCCCATCGGGTCAAAAAGGTTTTGTATTATAATCATAGTACAACTTTTAAACATTCACGAAAGTAAGTAACTTAGACTTGAAAATCATTGCTCAATAGCGTAGAGTGCTTCTCAAGCACTGCAGCAGGTATTGAATTAGGCAAATAGAAACATTTTAATGAGTTTCCGCAAATATTGTTGAAACGCGCAGTGAGCGCGCGCGTCCGTGGCGCGTCCAATCAAATTTAGCCAAGCTGTGTCGACACGCGCCGGAAATTACTACTGCAACATTCACCGGCCTAATGCAGATCGCATCTAATACTTTAGACTTGGATTAATCAGCGAAACTATATGTCACCAATTAATAACATATATTGCGTTATCGTAATGATATTTCTATTTATGAAAACGTGAATTTGTCTTTCAAAATAATTAAACTTCAATGAGTTAGAAATAGTACACTACACACTTACCACTTAATTCTGCGTCCTCCACAGAGTTCTGACTGTGCAAGGAGTATCTGTTATTTGTCTTGATTGATGGAGACCCTTGCGCTGATCCAGCAACGACACCCAGGCTCCTATATCCCTCATCAGACACCTCTGAACCGTTATCCGAAGCACTTTCACCGGCAGGAGCAGGAGATCCTGGTCGAGGGCTTTTATTTCTCACAGAATGGGGAGTGGGTACTAGATGGTTTGACGGCACAACCTTGGACCTCCTATCCGGGGAAGAGGACTTCCTCCCTGGACTGTTAGCCAAATGCTTCCTGCTCGGTGAAGCAGATCTGTCCAAATCCCCTAAATAAGGTAAGCTGGTCGGTTGTTCGCTAAGTCTTTGATTAGATTGATATTGCATTGAGCGCGGCTCTTCGTTGTAGAAAGAACTTCGCGGTTCTTCGATTGGCTTAGAATGGTACTGCAAAGACATAGGTTCGTATTTATCAGTTTTGGTGTAGGGAAGGGAGGTTGGACCAGGGTCTGGGCGTTCATAAGTGACAGTGGCGCCGGCCAAGTCGTGCCTGCGGCGAACGAGGCGGGCAGACAGCGAAGTGCGATGTTGAGCGCGACAGCGGCAAGGATCGTGTTTGTCCAAGTAGTGAGCCAGTGTGTCCCAACCGCCGCCAACACGAACCATTACGTGGGAACGGAGAATCTGTAACAAAAACAAGAACAAATCTTAATCTCTTGATGGACTGCCAGACGAATAGCAAGGCTAAGTAAACGCGTTTTATTGTGAGTACCGCGGCGCCAATAACTATCATTAAAGGCCAAACAAACAACGATTTAATTCCATTAAAGTGCCCAGACGCCGATGAATCATTCTTCATCTGTTTCCTTTTTTGGGCAAATCAAATGCTTGCCGATATTGCAGAATGCGACCTTTAACATACGCCAGTATAAAAAGACACTATACCCTAAGTAATGTATTGAAAGAAGGAGGTCATGTGAGCCTGGACTTTTTTATCAATCACTAAATTGAGAGATCTCGTAATGAGGTGTTTGTACTTAGATGGTTGGTGTCTGCTTATAGTGGCTGTGCAGTTGTCAATCGCTCCATATTAAGGGTCACAAGGCTAGGACCTAAACGAAGGCGAACCGAGGTCGCAAATTATTCTATGGAAACCATCAAGGTTTCAGTTACTTTCCCAATTACATTTCCATTGAGTAACCTACCTTTACAAATTAGGAAAATATGGTGTTTATAAATTTTGTTATTAACATTGATGTGGCACATTAAATACAACGACAACTAAGTTTAACTAGTTACTTTTGATGACTACTTCAAATCTACACAATGGTCAAGTAACAAGAAATCACTGTAGTCGTGGTGCACTTCCATGAGAGATCAACCGAGAACTTCGGCTGCAGTAGGGTATGGCGCAAAGTAAATGATTTTACTTGCAAATGACGATAATTTGGTTTGGTAAGGTATAATGATAATAAACATTTACCGTTAGTAAACATAATGCCGTCGTAAAACTGTGTGTAAGTAATTATATGACTTGAATCAATTGTGTGTCGTAGTTATAATGTTATGTACACATGAAAGGTTAATTTGAATAGAAGCTGTTAAAATTTGAATTGCATCTGTCTAATGGTATCAAATACGTTTGTTTTTCATGTATATTTCAATAGTCAACAAAACTTTACTTGAGTTCCAATCTTTGAAATAATATCTCAATGAACTTATAAAACATTCTTGACCAAGGATCACTACAGAACACTGGAAACAATTAATTTCTCCGCCGAAGTTATCTGAAACCTGCACCGCTAATACTATTATTAAAACCTATATATCAAGTTCCTCCCCATCTTTACAACCTATAAACAACCATAACATCCCGGAATCTTACAGAGGCGCATCGGCCGCGGCGCAGTGGCAGCGTATAATCAACGCCAGAGGTGAACAGGAAACACGCCTTTACATACATTATCGTCGATTAGCCAAAGGCTGGTTCGCACCTCGTTCGATCTTACAGGTGATTGTAATCCTTTAAACTGCAAATGTAATGCGTATGTGATTTGATTTCGGTTTGCGATTTGTGGTTTAAATGTAATAGGTTTTTCCCAAAGATAAGTAGCAAACTCTGATCTAGATTATATTACATTTCGTGACAATACATAAGACCAATAATTATAGAACAAATTCAAGGTGTTTAACTTACCCTGACAAAGATTAACAGTCTGGTATCTCCAATCCTGTACTTTCCTTCAGACACTCTCACCATAGGAAACTGAATTGGGCACGAGCAGCGCTCCACCAAATCTCTAACTCTCTCGTCTAAGCTCCTCAAGTCATTGGTCACCAGCTGCGGCTGAGGCCCCAAGGGAACTAGTCCCAAGGCCGAATCGTCAGGTCTAGGCTCTTCTCCAGCCAATTCTCTCTCAATCTGTTTCTCCATCTGAACTAGTAGTGGAGCGGGCATGCCCAAAACTGCTCCTTTTCTTGCAACCTCCAGAAGGCACAGAACAACATGCTTTTCATTCTTTCTAAGACAAAGGTCGTCTGTTTCAAAGAGAAGGCATTCTAGAATACCAAGGGCTTTGCGGCACCAGTCTATAAAATTGGAGACGTTGTCTCTGGCAAAGAAGGTGCCCGCTTTGGCTGCTAACAGCATGTTGACTGGATGTCGTTTCCAGAGTTCCCTGGCCAGATTGAGGGCGTCATCGGATTCTGGAATCGGAGAGTCGAGGATCTGTCGTGCTGAGTCCCGGACTGCGTTGGCATGCTGTAACAAAAAAAATACAATTTTATTAATTTAAATACTGACGAAAACAATTTTAGACTGCAAACTTAGTTTAAGATATTGAGATATTGCAGATGCACTATGCAGTCTTCCAAACAATAAATGGAAACGGAGAGGTGACAAGGAACCTCCATTTTCCCTGCAGAGAAGCTCCAATTTGCATAAGCATTATGGGAGAAATGGCAAGTATTTGCATGGGCCGTTGCTCTCAATTGTGCAGTCGATTCCCTGGGGCGTCGGACATCTTGTGCAAGGATCATTGTGTCGATAAACAGCAAATACCACATGCAAATGTGCGTTGCGTAGTGAGGGTATTAGCATACGCTATTAGTTGACATTTAACGCTCGACCACTGACTTAAGGACCGTATACAATAACTGTTGAGAAATCCTTATTACAAGTGGAGCGACAACAATGATCTGAACGTTTAGATATTTTGAAAACAAATTCTAGCGTCGAAATAAACGACGGGCTGTTGCAGAAGTTCAACGTACAAGTTAAACAAAAACATTGACGCCCAGGTGTGATTTGTCTCTGTTTTATTTTCTATTTCGTGGTTATTAACAAAATTATTATCATAAGTTGCAGGTTTCCTACCACGGTGTGACTTGCTGAAGTGCCGCTGGTCAGGGCGGTAATAACCATACCATGGCAATAGACTTGTAACAAGTGACAATTATGATGTTTTACCCAACCATTTGTCATGCAATCTTAATACATGAAAAATACCTATACGTTATGAGTACTAAGCAACACAAGAAGTCATCATTGTGCAGAATGCGTTAAAGTATCCGATTCGGGCAGTCACTGTCCATTGCAGTGTGTGCTGCAAGGGTTACACTCTAATTTAATGCTGTTATTTGCCGCTAATAGTTTACATAATTTAGAGGACATTATGCGAAGAATGTGAATTAACTGAATACGTGGACCATTCACTCTCGTGTTTCAAAAAAGGTTCACACTTTACAGTTGTCACTATATCTAAGGCGGTCCACGGACATGACTCTCTGTTAAGAATGCATAATCGATAATCTACACAATATATAAATCAACAAAAAGGAATCCACCGGAGAGCTATTAATATATATAATGACTTTTTTACAACTCTTAAATCTTGTAATCCGTTGTTAACACACACAGCGAACACTATAGTAAGTTTCTATGGTAATCTACCTGTTCTAGTGCTAATTCTAGCAATTACGCATACTAACAAGCTACTGGCTCCACACGTCTTATAAGGCTCTTATAAATACTATATACGAAGCGCGGTCGAACGTTAAACATTATTATTAAGAACTAGTTGGTGCCACTCCCATTAATAAATTAATTCTTTGTTGGTTTAGTTTAACTGCTTATTACGATCTTTAATGCCTTAATGATATTGTATTTCAGTTATTACACAACCGATTACGACAATGATTTCATTAGTATTCTTATTAGCAACTACGCATACAAGTCCAAAGAAACCGTGCCGTTCGAGGATCATGTTAGTCGAATATAAAATTGTAATGAAGGCACTTCACTTGCCATGTATAGATAGCATGTGTGACAAAGTGTTTGCCTTATTTGCCTATACGAAAATCACCAATAAACACCAGACATGCATTACCACGCGCTTGTCGGATTCCCGACGCACAACAAAGGAGCCAAATCTGTCGTCAACTAACCAAAACGCGGCTATGTGGCAAAATGAGATATCATAAAAAACCATAACCCAGTTTTAAAATATTGAAATTCAGTGCCTACAGTGCAAAACGGAATAAGACGAGTTGTACCCTTTTGTTTTTATTGCACCATTGGCTTCAGCGTGTCCGATTACATAACATATTAAAATGACGCCTCTCTAGCAGTCTCCTATAGTCTTTTTTTTAATGCACTAAGGGCATAACTCACTATTCCTAAAGGCATAATTTTAGTTATCGGGCATTTTTTAGGAGTCTAAAGGTACAAGTGCTTTTAACTCAAAAAATACATGTACGTTTTAACGAATAACTGCAGATATATTTTTACATAAAGACACTTTTCGTATTGTTTCACAATGCCGGGGAAAAAAGTAGGACTAAAAGCGACTATTAACTTATTCCACAGTGTATTGTCAGTTTAGTTAGTGGACGGCAGAAATAGGCAAATACCATAAATACGCAAATAACTTGTCCACACTATGGCCAAATTCATTGTTTTAAGTCCTTATTTGGCTCCGTGTGTAGACGGTGTCTGTACGTCAAGTACAACAAATACCCCACAGTCAACACTAGTAACCATGTTAAGTGCTACCATAAAGAAATATACTAGAACAATGACAATTCTCCTATTTGTCGTCACATCATAATCGTGTCTGCTTCGTTCCTATTCCATTGACCGAGCAATTGGCACCTCAAGTACAGAAGCGTCCAAAATTCTCAAAACTTTGTCTACATTAACAAAACCCCAAAAGTTGTAAACGACCATTTGTCGCATAACTATATAACATAGAAAAAAATTAATGAAATTACAGAACTAACAAATACGCAAAACAACCTCTTAATCAATTTGTAAACCAGCAAGTACGTCGTTATGTTGAAAAATAACATTGACAATCTAAACAAGCCGGCACACGATTGGCCAAAGGACTAGCGCTAATGTTTGCTAAACGGAGAAATAAATCTTGTGGAACGCAATCGCTGGATCAAGGCTCCTTAATGATCAGTTATACCGCCTGATCCAATGATTGCAACCTGCTAACTTGATTTATGTAATTACTCCAACGGTCTATCAAAATATACATCAACAGGTGGAGGCCAGAACGGATACTTATAACAAACTAAGAAACCAAATAGTATAAAATTAAAATATAATTAGGTAGATGCTTAAAAATGAGCAGTAGATTAGTAGAAGCGAAGCTGTAGAGCTTTGAATAATAAATCGCTATCCTACAGAATATATCACTACTAGATGTTGTAGTGTGAAACTCCGGACCCCTATCATCTTCATCTTTCTTTCCTGATTCCTGAAAGAGTTCCAACTAACTTTTACTATAATACTAGTGTCTAAACTACTTAAATTTGCTATTATAAGCTATTTCTCGCACTTTGACAGTTTACTCACTTTTCATGTCAGACCTTGGCATATTCTATTGTACTGATAGTATCTTCGGATTTTGCTATTCGTTTTTCCAATGCCAATTACGTACTATTTCATCAATTTCACTTTGTAAACATATTTATTTCGTATTTAATATTTTGATAATGTAGGCTGGGGTTTCATCCCTAAGCTGTGCATATTACAAGGATTGGAAGAGTGGAAAAATCTTGCATACAGACTTATTCTCTGTACGCCATAACTTGGGGCATAATCATAAACCATTGTCGTGTCCAGTGTGCATAATCCATTGTCGACCTAATAATCGTCACTTTTCATCAGGTGAGATGGAGGTCAAATACGTACAGTCAGTACAAAGTACTAAAAAAATCCATCTCAAAAGTCATTCATCCCCTAGTTTATCACCCTTAGAAGTGGAATATTATCTTCACATTTAAATGGGGTACCCTCTCTTTCCAACAAATAGAGAATCATCAATACATACAAAAACAATTCAGGCGAATTGAGAACCTCCTCCTTTTTTAAGTCGGTTAATAATAATAATAATAACGCACACACTCAACATAGCCCCGCACTAGGAAAACCCCGTGTCGTGGGTGCTATGGACACACACATAGACGACCACAAATTACACCCAAACTCACGAGAGAAATAAATGCAGGTCGTACAAAAATTTTTCCGGCCCGGATATCGAATCTGGGACCTCTGCGTGTCAGGCCGGCATGGTAACCGTTCTACCACTGAGGCAGTTAAATAATAAAAGTATAAGTTGTTGTTAGTTACAATCAGTTAATTATTTAATAACAATAATGATAGTAATAACTTTAAGTAGGCCCACTTGTTGGTAATACAGAAAATTTATCTATAATGTTAGCGGTTTTAAACAACTTCTAAATGAAACGACACACTTGCCCGAGATATATTTTTAGATAATTATTTGCTTGCCACATCAGCACGCTAATAAAATGCTCAAGCATAGGCTCTGCTATTTTAGAAAACCTTTAGCAATCTAAACATTTTCAGAATGCTGTTGGAAATGTTACGCGCTCTATGGAGTAGGGATATAGTTTTCTTCCTTCAAAGCATAGAAATTATATGATCGCAAGTCTGTGAACATGTCAGATGCACTGTATATTTATTTTTGACAATGCATTTTAATTTTGTTTTTCAAGCACGACGGGCTACGACAGAGAATAACCAATAAAATAACAATGTAAGATCGTGTTTAAAAATCTCTTTCAATGCAGGATTTTACAACTTCTTGTTTATTGTTATATTTTTACGCTGTATAATTTGTACTCTGTATTAAGTAATAGCTGCATAAAGCTGTGAAAGACGGCGACTGTAGACACCTACGTATAAACCCTTTAAGGGGATTGCAGTAGAGAGGTAGGTCAGATTCTGTTGATTCGGTCATTCTGAGACTAGTGTACACTACCTAATTTCCGTGGCAATTTCTATTACTTAAATATTCAAGCATGTTATCGTGTAATTGTTAAATAATATTTCACGATACAATACTTGAATATTAAATAATATTGCACGATAAAAAATCAAATATATCTTTAATATAAAAAATACTAAGCAGTTTCTTCGTATGTGCAAGCAATTTGTTTGAACTTATGAAACTTGTAAATATCTATTATAGATAACTAATTATTACTGTAATTTTATATTTCTAATTATATATTTTTTTTAGTATCTCATTGGTTAACATTAGATTTTTAGTGATGTATACACCTGTAGTGACTTGGCACCTTGTATAGTGAACCTGTGTGTATTTTTTTTTTAATTGTTTTGTGTTAAGTTGATGGTGTATCTTTAAATAAATAAAATAAATAAATACTGTGAACAATAGTTCGATAATGACCGAATTATTTTTGTTTTGGACAATAAATAAAAAA